AAATAGGCCCTAACCCTAACATAAACGAACTTAAAGAATTTTGTCGGACATCACGTGATGGTAAAAATTTTGTTGGCAAAAGCTAATATCACGTGATAAAATGATTGGTTACGATCTTAGGTACAACGATACGATTAAGTAAACATATAACGTAACGTAATACATACTATAACAAAACTGCAGAAAAGATATCTATGGTATACTAAAGACAGCGAATTATTTTACCGAATTTCCTTAATCTACATGATAAAGTATAATAAAATTGACAACTAAGCATGTATAATAAATCATGTATAATAAATGATTATTAAACCTGAAAATAAAATTTACTACAGTATATACATAATTTTATTATGATGATTACACAGAGGACAGAAACACAAGAAATGTTAAAAACACAAGAAATGTTAAAGAGAGTAATTAGGAGGATATAGCAAGAATGTTTTTATAGATGTATTCATAAAATGCGACTTAACAATACATTAAGATACATTTCAGATTTACGATTTACATTTTGAAGCATTATTATAAAGAGCACTACTATTGACTATTGACCAGGTTCTCTTTCGTATCTTTCTTCTTCCACGGCTCTTTTTGCACCTCTAAAAGCGGCTTTAGCATCGACAGCAACTTCTTCGGCGATGATACCAAGGTTACGAAGAATAAAAAACAATCCGCGATAACAAGCATATCCAAATACGGTAAAGAAAGCAGTAGAAAAAGCCGCAAAGCCCATCACGCAAATAACAGGAACAAGGAAAACTAAACCGAGACCGACAAAGAAACCTTCAGCGAGGAAAATTCCAACACCGGTAACGCTTAGAACAAAGGCCGTGGTACCAAACAGAAATAGCAAAAAGATGCCTAAAGGAATAGCATTTAAAGCAATGACACCATAACCGAACCAACTAAGAGGTGGGAAATGATTCCAAATGTAATAAACTCCACTAAATATTGGTCTGAGATATTCACGCGGATTTTGCAAAATGTGTACTTGACCAAACTTAGAAGAGACTTTGGAGGAGACATCAGTAACAATATGTGCTGCCTTTTTTGTTGTATCATAACTTCTTGCTTCTACTTTTTCGGGATCTGCAATAGGAAATCCTCTTTCTCTTTCAGGCTCATACAGATAAGGTCTATCTTCTTCACTCATTATTAAAAAGTTGGTAAATGAATAATTCAGATAAAATATTCAGATGAAAATGTACGAGTTATTTGGATGTTCTTTTACGTTAATCGCTCTTAAATAGATACATTTTATTAGTCTATATCACAATTTCATCATCTAATAGAGTTTAATAGATTCATCTAAGTGATATCTTTATCTCGTCATTTGCTTGTAATGAATCATAGTACTGATTTATGCAAACATACGAACATACGAATATACTCCGATAATTATGATAATTATGATAATTATTTTAATTATTTTAATTATTTGGATATTCTTGATTTATTGCAATATCTTTTAAGATATCCTAAGATATCCTAAAATTACTCTGAATAACGAACACGTGTAATATTTTGTAATATTTAATATTTGTAATCTCTATACTATACTTTCCATAAATTTTCGTCATTTATCAATAAATTATTTCTAAATTATTTCTAAATTATTTTTTTATTGCGAAAATGAATAATTTACATATATATGATTTATTATTAAAGTAGATATATATGATTTATTATTAAAGTAGAAAATGATTCATTATTACATTATGTAAACCCGATGCATTTTTCTCACAACGGACAAAGCCTTTGATTGTTTAAGTCATGTTACCAATCAAAACTATCGGAATTCTTTCTGCGAATTATATGTACTCCATTTATCAATTCAATCATATCAGATTATCTTGATTCTATCGCGTATTTGTTTACAAGTTTACATATAAACAAATCCACAATTACCTGTTAAAGATACATTATTATTCTAATACTGTAATATTAATTCTCACCCTATGTATGACTATGTAATGACTATGGCGCCACTAAGCGCATGATCGTTTCCTCCGGCACTAACCTTTTTGGTTTCAGTAATTTTCAATCAAAAATATGCTGCCAAGAACATCAGCCATAATTTCAACACAACAATATGCAATGAATTTCTATTTCCATTCAGACAATTATCGCTACATACGTATTATTGTTTCTTTGTTTTTTCCCACCCCACTTATAAATGGTCCTTTTAAAGTAATCTTCACGTTTTACGTAATAAACATTTTGTGCAATTTGTCAATGTTTTTGTGAAATTTTGTTTTATATAAATAAATAAATTTGCTTCTCAAATGCTCATGTAAATTCAATTTCTCAATATTTCGAAATACTAAAGACTCTAATAATTATAACAATAATTTTGATACTGTAATAATCCTCATTGTTAATATTTTCGATATTTTTGATATTTTCGATATTATTTGTGTTATTATTATTATTATTGTTTTATTGTTATTATTATTATTGTAGTCTTTTTTTTAAAAAACATTTGACCAAAACATTCTTTATTCCACTACGCCGTGAATATATATATATATATATGGGTCAATATCACCCATCTTCATTTTCCTTCACAAGACGATTCAAAAGACGATCCTCTATTGTAGCCCCTCAACCTTTACCAAGACCAAAACACGAACTTGATCTAAGTGCAGGATTCCGTCGAATTGATAAAAAAACTTATAATAGCATAGTTAACAGTTCGAGATTTGACTTACCAGAAGATAATGAACGTATCGATAGAATCAAATTGAGACATCGTTTGTTTAGATATGTGTGGCAAAAGAATTTTTCTTCTCCAATTAGAGATGATTTAATACAAGGAATTAATGTTCTTGATGTTGGGTATGTTTTTTTTGCAAAAATCTACCAATTTCAATAATAAGCAATATATAGTGTATTATTAGTATTATAAGTATTATTTTAGAAAATTTAATATTATTACTAATATATTGATAATATATTGATAATATATTGATAATATATTGATAATATATTGATAATATATTGATAATATATTGATAATATATTGA